GGGCCCGGCCGCCGGACAGCTGCGCTGCTCTCTGTGGTGCGTGGCCCGGCGCAGCCCTCTCTACCGCCGCGGCCCCCGCAGCGCGGCTCGAGGTGCAGTTTCGGTGCCGGTTTTGTGTGTTTTCCTGCGGGCTCCCGGCTGCTCCCCGAAAATGCGGTCCTGCAGCCCCGGGGCCGCGCAGGCGCGGTGGGGGCGCCCTCTGCAGCGATCGGCTCCCTCCGCGGTTACCGGCACCGTGACGCGGCGGTGCTTGCGGAGCGGCGCCGCCTCGCCCGTCGCTTCCTCCCGGTCAGGAGCCGCCGCCCCCCCCCCCGTGCGCGGTGCCGCCGGGCGCTCTGCGCGCCGATCGCGGTCCTGCAGCCCGGCGGTCGCGCGCGGCTCTGGCCCCTCCGGCGCAGGCGCGGTGCGCGGGAGAGAGAGGGCGGGGCGGGCGGGCGGGGCGGGGCGGGGCGGGGGCGGGGCGGGGCGGGGGGGGCGGTGGCGGTGAGGGGAGCGAGCCCCTTGGGCGGGGGGGGGGTGTCTCCTGGGGGCGGGGGGGCGGGAAGCGGCAAATTGGGCTGTTAGCGGGAACATTTTTGTTTCACTTTGGATGATAGTGCTAGATGAGTAGTTCTTTTTTTTCTTTTATGCTCTTTGAATTGTTTTTTTGCCAGTTTCTTTTATGATATATTAAAATTGCTAAGTGTTTCAAAAGCTGTGGGACTTTTAGATAATTATTTTCTGGTGGCTTTATCTGTGCAGGGCTTTTTTTACTTTATTCTTTTTTCTTGTGTCAACTTTTCTGTTCTTCTGGTGGATGTGCATACTGTTTTCAGCTCCACTGGATTTCAGAAAAGGGAGGGAGCAGGGGAAAGCCAATGCATGATGTAGTGTGGACGTTTGCCCCAGCTCTTTGTGACTTTCTTTAACCATGTGTCTTCCTTCACCTTTTCCTCCCGTGTACTACTTTTCTAGGATACTGCTTTGATATGTCTCAATGTTTTTTGAGAAACAATGATGACCAGCATAAACTAAAGATCTTGGCACTCTTGGCTTGCCCAAAGGCTTTCTTATACTCTGAATTGCAATGGCATAGCTATCGTAAAGAACAAACATTGCAGAGTTGCTAGTGGGACTGTGAACAGTAAATGGGACAGACCCGTGACACTAGCAGTGTGCTGCAGCTGGATTAGGCTTCATACCTCGCCAGCACTGAAGGAACCAGGCCTGTGTGAACTCAAACCGTGAAAGGAGATGTCCAGATACAATTTCCAAGTGGGTACAAAATGCTGATCACATACATACACTCTGAAACACTGTAAATATTATCGACAAGGAAATTGTGACAAATTCACATTTCTACTGACTCACACTGCTACTGTAATGCTTTAATAACAAAGACTACAGCGCCCACAGTTTCCTTCCCACTGGAAATGGAATAGACTGCAGCATATGCTTTCACTGATAGAAATTAAAAGTATTCTGACATTAATTATTAACATTTAAATCACATTTAAATATTAAATGCAAGAGAAGTCATGTTATTTCCCTGGGAAAGCTAACTGCTTTCAGGGTCTAATGACAGTGAAATGAGCCTTCAGTGCTGCCAGCCTTTCCGGCTTCTTGCCCTCCCAGGGCCGCAGAGGCCCTCAGTAGATGGTGAGGTGTCCTGCCTGCAGTGGCACTGAATGTGTTTGAGCCATTCAAACATGTTCATGTCACCTAAAACATCTACCGGTGGTGATTAGGCAACGGATACAAAATGTTCTCCTTTTTCAGAAAGTCGGTATTCAAGATACTCCTGTGGGATATGAAGTATTTTTTGGTGAGTGTGCTCCCACCGTGTGTTCTGTGGGTCTGCGTGTGCCTTTCATCACACAAGTGAAAAGGCTGCTGAGTAAAGGGCTGCAGGGTGGGGAACATCGACAGGATTGGTTTACACAGCTTTTTGTTGAATTGTTTTGCTTAGTTTCAATTTTTTTTTAGCAGTGAAACGAGAACACAAGCTGAACCCATAGCGTTTCTTTCAAGATAACTAGAATTCAGTAATTCAGTTACTGTGGAGGAACGCCTAGTGATTCCTTGTACAAGTAAAAGTCATTAGACTAAACATCTGGCATTTTAGTGCACCAAAATCAGAGGCCTTAGGTGAACAGGATTTCAGATACTAGAGAATCTGCCAACCAGGATAGACCTGCCCAGTCAAACCTCCTACGTACTGTAGATGGAGATAAAGTCCCCATAGGGCACATTAAAATTATGCTGGGGGAGACAGTCTGGGTTATTCCTGCCTCTGGTAAAGGTAAACTCATGCGTGGGATTATTTTTGCCCAAGGACCCGGGTGCAGTTGGTGGGTAATGCAGAAGGACGGGGAATTCAAATGTGTGCCTCAAGGGGATTTGGTTTGGGTAAAAATAGCTGATGAATTGAACTGTATGATGTTAATTGCTAAATAACCCTGTTATTGAAGATGGTCATCACTACGGTTGGTACATATTATACTAACGACATCAGATTAAGAATCACCCAGGTTAATGAGAAATGAACTTTGATAGATTCAGGACTGAATTGGTGCCCAGCAACTTCCTTGAGATCAACATCTTCAGCCCGCAATCTGTGAGCATGGACCACACCAGATACAGCTGCTAGGAGCTCCAGATGTAGCAGAGGCTACGTGCCCTCCTCCTGCTGTGCCCAAGACCACCCGCTCCACCCACCGAACCAACAGCACATCACCCCGCCTGACTTAAAGACTGTCATGACAGTGGACCCCAAACTTATGGACTATATGAACTCACTATACATGTTAGAGGGATGGCCTAGAGCCTAAGGGAATGATATCTGTGTGTATACCTCAAAAACCAGGAAATGGGATGGTGATTCCTTAGAACGTACTGGGAAACATGGAACCTGAGCATAACATAAATGGGATGGAATAAGGGGTGGATACTGTCCTGGTTTTGGCTGGGATAGAGTTCATTTTCCTTCTTAGCAGCTGGAGTAGTGCTGTGCTGTGGATTCAGTAATGGGTGTGGTAGGAGAAGAATCTTGCTAATACACTGATGTTTTCAGTTGTTGCTGAGAGCTCTAAGACTCTCCAACTCCCCATGTCCTGCCTGTGTGGGTGCACAAGAAGCTGGGAGGGAGCAGAGCAAGAGCACTGGACACAAATTAGCCAGTGAAATAATCCCCATCATGTAATGTCGTGCTCGGTGTATAGAGGAGGGGTGGTCGGGAAGGGAGGGCTCTCGCTTCTGGGATTGCAGTTTTGGGATCTTCACTTCTCTGGGATCACTGGCTGGAATGGGCTGGGCATCAGTGGGCAGGTGGTGAGCAATCACATTGTGCATTACCCCTTTGTATTTTACTGAAAAAAAAAAAAAAAAATTACACTGTTTTTATCTCAACCTACGAGTCTCTAGCTTTACCCTGCCATTTCTCTCCCTCACCCCCGAGGGAGGGGAGGGTGAGTGAGCAGCTGTGTGGTGCTTGGCTGCCAGCCAGGTTTAAACTACATCAATCACTATCTCAAAAATCATTGGATTAATTAAGATACGCCCACTCACAACTTGAAAAGCAGTCAGAAAAAAGGAAAAAAATAATAATCTTGGTTCTGCAGTTACCATAAGGCAGTATATTTAGACATCTGTAAGGTTCCAGTTTCCAACAAATGCTGGCTGCCTTTTGATTTTTTGAGATAAGTACTGTTAGCAGTAAAATCAAATGTTTCTATTGGAGTTGTTCAGGGCAAGCATTCAGTATTCAAGTAGTTTGTATTTACCGTAACAAGACATTCACTCATTCATTCATTTAGGTAAGGGCTTTGCTATTCTCTATATATTATGAACTGCCTTGGCTTTCTTTCCAGTTTTATAAAGGACTCTTGTGAGAGGTTTCAGTGATAGCAGATACCACAGCCTGCAAGGGAGCCGTTCCTTGTGTTGCCCTCACTGCAGATGAAAGCCCTTCGTAACAGAGAAGGACAGAAGCAGGTAAAGTGCGGAGCGCGGACGAACGACACGCTGAGACGGTTCAATGTGGGTGATAGAGCATCAATCTATGTGTGTGTTTATTGGTCAGGGTACATATATTTATACAACACATATTATGCCTACTAGTCACTAGCTGATTGGCTTAAGCTCTAAAGGTTGTATTCGCACGGTCCACCTACTTGCAGTCAGCAAACAGCACAAGCTGCTCATAACACTAAGTTTCTCAGGCCACTATTTCTAATTCCTCTTGACTTGTTTTCGATACACAACAGTACCGTAAAAATGTTTCTCAGACCACCGTTACCATAACACTGGGTTTCTCAGACCATCGTTACCATAACACTAGGTTTCTCAGACCACTATTTCTAATTCCTCTTAACCTGTTTTCGACACACCACGGTACACAAGGCCGAAGCGTCCTTGACATTCCTCCATGTATCAGCAGCTGCGAGCAGCTGCAGGCAAACCTAGTGAGGCCCAGCATCAGCAGCTAGAGCAGGCTCTGATCGTACAACTGCTCGGGGGCTCAGGACCCTTGTCTCTGAGCCATTCTCCAACAATTCCCCCTTTTTCTTTTTGTACGAGCAGAGCCTGCCCCAACGTATGTTCAAAGATTTTCTTAATACATGACAAGGCACAACTTAAGCATGCAGGCTTACAATCTATTGGACTAAAGGCACTTATCACGCACCCAGAAGTGCTGTGATAGGTCTGCATCTTTAGCACGCGTGAACAAACTAAATCTACTTTGTGCGGTTAGTATCCAGGCATTCAAACAGGGAGGAAGCACTAGATTGACTTCCTCCTTCTTGCCCTTCCAGGTGACCTCAAGGGCAGGATTACCACGGGGCAGTTTTCTGCTCAGAGACCCAGCCTGGATTGTCCAAACCCTGTAGGATCAGTGCATGACCCTGATCCCCCCCAAAAAAAATTCCTACCAGCTTTTCCCCCTTTTTCTTTTTGGACAATCCAGACTCCTTTTAACGTTTGAATCATAGCATTCATAAAGCATTTCCACACAGACCCCAATACCATCATGACAATCATAATGACAATCAGCATTACCAGTCCATACATCAACAAAGCTTTCAGACAGCCAGTAATTTCCAATTTTGTAGATTTATAACCATCTGTCAGTCCATTTTCAAATTCCCAAGTTTGTAACCATTCTGTCAGTCCATGTTCCAATCTTATGCAGTCTTATGTAGCAGAAAACCACCCTTACAGTTTTAAAAGTGTCAGCAATTGTAACAACAGAGTATGCAATACAGAATTTAATACAGGTTTCAGCATGCTATGTTCTAAACATTGCACTGAACCAAACATACAATTGAATCTGATACTACATGAACAAGTTCTTGATACCAGTGTTGATGTTGAAACACCCAGATGACAGTTCAGAGTTCTAAAGTTCGTAAGGACTCTCCAGACCCCCCGAGGAGAATCTTGTGGTGTTGTGTTCCCGGGTGTCCCCCATCCGTTGTCACTACCGGGCAGGCCAACGCCCAGCAGCATGCCAGTCCCCTTCTAACAAGGCACCCCGAATCCCCCCACTCCATCGGGGCTGAGCTAAAAGCGGAGCTGGTTCTGGTGAGGGTGACGGGAGTGGGTGTGGGGGGGCTGCCGGCAGCGCTTCCTCTTCTTGTCATTGTAAATGCAGAGTTCTGTTCTGTAGCTCAACTTCTGTAATTTTCTGTCAAGCTCTCGGACTCTGTCCCTGTCCCTTACCGGTGTGTGACCCTGGTGCTTTAATTCGGACACAGCCGCCGTTTTTCTCTCCGACTCAGACGCTGACGCGCCGTCAGGGGCGGAACCATCCGAAGGGGGGGGGGGGGGCAGAGGTTCGGGCGGCAGCCGCTCCCCCCTGTCCCCCCGCGCCGCCTGATTTCTCTGCCGCTTCTTGCGCGGTGGAGCAAACAGGAACACTTGGTGCCGTGCCCTTAATAGAGCGGAGCTGCTGATTAACCCCGAAGAAGGTGGCTGATCGGGACGGGCGGTTGGTTTCGGCAGGGACCGGCGGGGATGGTACAGCGCCGACAGCCGCCATGGCAGCAGCAGCTACTTTCTGTTCTGCTGGCATCTCCCTCAGGGCTTTTACGGGCGTTCGCCAGACCAGCCCTTGCTGTCGTGCTTCACTGCCTTTATTGCCTCCAGTGATGGTCTCGTCCCACAATAAATCACCTACTGCGCGCCTACGGTATTCAGTCGAAGCAGGAGTTTGGGGGATAAGAAGCGTGCTGATTTTGTGTTAGCATTTGCAACTTAAATCATAAACTACTGTTTATTCTCTTAACTCTTCAGAGTTAATGCATCATTGTTAGTACAACAGGCAGCACGTGCCTGCGCAGCGTTTGAGGTTTTACTTGAAAATTACAGCTTTGGTTGCTTCGTGCACAGTGTAGCTCTTGCTCCTTGAATTTCACCAGCAGCCATGCAGGTTCCCCCAGGTTTCTTGGTATTTTGCTCTTCTTCAACCTTCAGTTTCAGAAATCAAGAAAATGGTTTTTTTGTTTGAATAGTGTTTGGTTGCTGTAATGACAGCAACAGGCTTCAGAGATGAACCTCAGCAATTCAGTAGTCCCAAGCTTTCCACTTTGTGCCTTTAGTAGAGAAATAATTTGAACAGTGATGAAAACTAAAGGGTGTTTGAGCATTGCAGAGTTTTTCTTTGTATGGGTGAACAGATTTTGGTTTTCTCAGATTAGTTACTGTCCATGGAGGCAAGGAAGGAGAAGCCAAGCGGCAGCGATGTATTTTCTTCTATTTAAGACACGCATAGTGATTAGAAGGGTAGCCTAAAGAGGGAAAAAATGCACCAAGTTCTCCAGGAGGCCCTTTCAAAGCCGCAGCTATGACTCAAGTGTGAGACGTGGCTGGGTTTTATTGCTTTGAACACAGTAATCCTGCTCATCCCCTTCCCCAGCCCAGGTGTCAAGGGGTAAAGAGCAGCAAAAAGAGTTATTTCTGTTTGCTCCTGTAGTTCTCCTTTGGCTTTTAAGACACAGCTGCTCTTCAGGCAGTGAGAGCAGTGGTATTTCAGGCGAGGAGAGCATTGGCTGTCAGTCTTTGGCTTTTGCAAGGATAAAACCCGTGGTTTTGGTGGAAAGTGCACTCGCAGCAAGGGAAGCCTGAGCCTCCTTGGGCTGAAGATGAAGCTTCACCCTTGCAGGTTCCTCAGGGCCTGTGGAGGTTGTTGGTGGCCATGTCCTGGGGCCAAGTGCCATCTGGTGATTCCTGCAGCTATTGCCTTTCGATAAAGGCTGTGAGAAAAAGTGCAGGGTTTGGGGGGGTTTCGCCCACTTTGGAAATCCCTTTGGTTTTTTGTTTGTTTGTTTGTTTTTTTTAAAAAAAAAGGAACTGCAAGAACGAGGCAGGAGGTTTGTTTTTCTAGTGTGAAACCCTCAGGCCTCTCCCCCTGTAGTAAGTAACTTCCCAACTCACATTGTATACAATCTAGGTGATGCCACGTGCTGTTTTATTTGGGTAGGGAAGAAAAAGCTCCTCCAAGTCTGTGTTTTTAGGGCCGTGCCTGGAGGAGGAGGCACCCCGAGGCCTCGTGGACTGACGTGGAGGCAGGGGTGGGTGATGGCTGGGGGGACATAAGGGAGCTCTACACACCCATCTCCAACTTTTCCCTTCTTCTCGTTGCTGAACAGAGACATGACGAAGAGGCGGTAATTGACCGGGGAGGAGTGAGCAGTGTTGTCAGGACTCACTATGAGATGGAGGAGTTGGAAGGTGAGTCTCTGCTGAGATGCTCAGAGAGGGGCCACCAGCCCCAGCGCCTCTTCCCACTGCACAAAGACCCTACAACGTCCTTGCTCAGTGTCCCCTCACATGCAGGAAAACGTGCTGTGCTTCTTAATGAAGCAGCACAGTTATTAGCACATTGTTTACTATTACAGTTTCTCAAATGGAGGAGAAAAGCCCCTGCAGAGGCCACGGTGTGAGTTTTAGCCACAGGGCTGGATAATCTGTGGTTTGTTTTCCCACAGCAGCTGCTCCTGGGCTTGGAGAGGTCAGGAGACTGATTTGACAGCTGCAGGCATGGGCTGTGATTTATCATGGGACTGATTTGATCTTCTCACCTTCTGCCATACAAAGATTTTATAAATAAATACCTTCTGTCACTGCTCAATGAGCAAGTCTGAGTGTTGTCGAGCCAAATCTGGAATTTGGGAAGAGGTTCGATAATTCAGGGCACTTTCCGATGACCAGGAGTCATCACTTGTTATTTCTCTGTTGTTGCAAAGTTCGAGTAAAACAGGCTTGGAAAAAAAAGGAGAGGTCTGTGATGATCCAGTGAAAACAAAATTAAGAGAAATTGGTGTTTCCTTCTGGGACGGCTGCACTGATTTAGCCGTGGCCTCTGCATGAACCATACCTGCCGCGGCGAAGACGGGGAAGCAAGACACATCAATATGATGAGTAAATAAGCTTCAGTTTATTCCGTGATATGTTCTCCTTTTATAATGTCCTAATGTCTCGTACATGCAATCATGCGCCTTGTCAAGCAAGCTCATTGGCTTATCACTACTGTTCACGCGACAAACACAAGCATAACATACATTCTGATTGGATAACAATGTTTTGCATACTTTGCAATACTTCAGCATTTTTGCGGTAAGCACATCCCTGTTCAGCATCCTGTTTTTCATAACTTTAACCAACTTCCCTGCTTCAAGGACAGTGTGTCCTTCATATCTTCTGATAAACATTTCTTACTGTTAATACTCTGGCCCCAGCAAATGTGAAAGATGTTTCTTCACAGGTGAACCCAGGTTTCCCAAAGCAGAGTCTCAGGCATCAAATCTCATTAAAAAATAATTTGGTAGAGTGGTACAGCAGCAGGATCAGCTTGAGCTGGGTGCCTCCAGAGAGGGACCTGAACAAAGAAATCCCTGGGAAATGATACCCTCACAGACTATTCACCACCCCTCATGCACTCTCACCACTCTCTTCTCACATCTTCCACGAGCCTTCTGGTCCAACAATGATTCTGGTCTGAGATCTTCTGACTCCTTATTGTATTCCTTCACTGGATCCAGACAGGCTGTTGTCTAGATGCAGATGCTGTTGATGGTTGTACACTTTTATCTTTTCTGGTTTGTGCTCTCTGGAGGCCTTGCTTTGCTCTGATAGACAGAAGTTCAGTAGAATTTAAGCAAGGTGAAAGTTTACAGTTTACGGCCTAAGACTTCAGCAAATCTAACTATTCCTGCTAAGTAAGTGAAGCTAAGCAAACAGCATACTAAATCACACAACATTACAAGTCTAAGCAATTCATTCAATTTAAAATTTATTTAAGCTAGATGACTATTTTCTCTTAACAGTCCTCCCTTTGTTTTATTAAGCATTCCTGGTAATATGCTAAACAATCTTTGCAGAGTCTTTTCTGTTTGACTAGTGCCCATAGTTTTATAGACAGTATTGTTACAAGTAACAGACATATCAGACAACAAACAATGAGAGTCCTTTCTATAGGTTTTTCAGAAACTGGGAAACCAGGGCCTCCATATCCCACGTAGGTTTTTTTCTTTTCATATTTATCACCTCTCATCCAATCCAGAGTATCTGTCCTTTTTGATTTTATACTTAGCTATGCTGTAGCAGTCACCAGAATTGACAGTATCAGGAGAAGTGTAACACTCCACCTCATCCTTTGCTGATTTTCAGGAATCTGTCATCAGCTGGCTGGCTATTCACCACTCATTTGACATGAGAATGGTGTACCTAATTTTCTTTTCCTAAAACTTTAACATCAAAATAAGAACACAATAAGACAGTATGGGCCTTCTCATTTAGGCTCCAATTTTGATTTTGGGGAAAATATTTTATGACTTAATCTCCAGGTTGTAAATCAATACCTGTATTCAGATAGTGTGTCTTGATATCATTGAGCATATTTCTTTTGTTTTCAAACTCTTTCTTCATATCTAAAATGTAGATTCTGCAGATCTATGTCAACTGTTCCTCTCCATCTAAGAGGCTGGTCCTGGTGGGTCAAAGGTCCCAAGTACAGCTAAGTGCCTGCCAAACACAGTTTCTGATGGTGACATCCCCAGAGATTGGTGAGGGGTATTTCCAATATCCCACAGCACTATTCTTAAAAACGTAGGCCCTTTTAAACCTATTCAAATATAAGTTTGAGCAACTGTATTCTTGAGAGTCCTATTCATTC